ACACACACACACACACAGACACACACACACACACACACACACAGCCACACACACACACACACAGAGGAATAAATGTAATTTTTTAAAATACATTAGGGTTCTGGCTGCTCTCAAGAGACCCCAGAGAGCACAGCCTCCTCCTCTCTATCCTCCTTTCTAGGTTCTGCAACCTTTTTCTTTGAAACAGGGTTTTGTTTATTTGGAGATCAGAGGAGAGTGAGGAGGAGGCTGGATGAGAGGAGAAGAGACAAGGGTGGTCAGCTGAGGAAAGCTAGACTCCTCAGGCTCCATCTTCAATTCATGAACGACCTTTATTCTCTTCTCATTTATTTCTCATTTTATGACATCTCTCCCTCTATTTCTTATTTTTTAATTAATTAATTTATTTCAATTTGTTTGTTTGTTTACTTATTTATTTGAGGCAGGGTTTCTCTGTGAGCCCTGGCTGACTTGGAACTTGCTCTGTAGACCAGGCTGGCCTCAAACTCAGAGATCCTCCTGCCTCTGCAGAATGCCAGTGCCAGCTGGGCCCCCTCTTTTTTTAAATGTTGATATGATCTCTAATGCTCCCTTAGTTTCTTGTAAATTAGAAATTTCATCATTTCTTCTATTTGATGCTCTTAGCCTCCAGCTGAACAGGCTGCCCTGTTCTCTCTTCAGTTCTGTGCTGGTACTGTCACCTCAGTGCTGACAGAAGACGTTTAGGGATGTGAGCAGGGAGGTGGTGGTGCACGCCTTTAGTCCCAGCACTCTGGGAGGCAGAAGCAGGCTGATCTCTGTGAGTTCAAGGCCAGCCTGGTCTACAAATCCAGTTCAGAACAGCTTAGGCTACACAAAGAAACCCTGTCTCAGAAAAATAAAAAATTAAAACCCAGGTTCTCCCCACATTACCGCTGCCTGCCTCTGCCCAAGAAAACAAAAGGGCATGTTTGTGTTTGTAATGTCAAGTAGGACTGTCACATCCTACAGACTGAAATTGCCACCTCTCCAGCCATTACTCTGAGCCTCGACTTCAACCTCTGTGAACATCAGTCTTTTTGTGTCAGCAGGCTGTGCCACATGCAAAATATAAGTTCCATGATGTAAAACACAAGCGTTGTGGCAGGAGAGATGGCTCAGTGAATAAAAGTATTTGCCATGCAAGCATGAGGACCTGCAAACCCCCAGCGTGCACTGAAGGGCACATATGGGTACACACACACACACACACACACACACACACACCAGCATTGCTGCACACACCTGCAGCTCCTGTGTTAACAAAACAAACAAAAAGCAACTTTAAAATACCTGAAGAGATGGCTCAGCAGCTAAGAGTACCTGCTATTCTTGCAGAACACCTTAAAGGTTTGATTCAAACCTTTAATTCCAGTTCCAGGGGATCTGACACCCTCTTCTGGCCTGCACAAGCACCAGAAATGCACACTGTGCACTTACATTCACGCAAACAGGCAAATCATCTACACAAAATAAAAATAAATAAAATCTTTCAAAAACAAGCAACTCAGGCGTGGTGGCACACACCTTTAGTCCCAGAATTTGGGAAGCAGAGGCACCTGGATCTTGTGAGTTTGAGGTCATCCTGGTCTACATAGCAAATTCCAGGCCAGCCAGGGCTACATAGTGAGACCCTCTTGAAAAATAACAGCAAACCAGATGGTAGTGGCTCATGCCTTTAATCCCAACATTCAGGAGGCAGAGGCAGGTGGATCTCTGTGACTTTGAAGCCAGCCTGGTCAACAGAGTGAATTCTAGTGTGTCCATGGCTAAATAAAGAATTCTACTGAGCCATGTCTCCAGACCTTAGCTAGCCTTCTCTCTTTTTTCAAAGTCTTTTTTTTTTAATTTGGCTTATTTTATTTTATGCGTATGAGTGTGAGTCTTTCACCTGCTTAATGCATGTGCCACCTGCCAGCAGTGGTCAGAGAGGATGTCAGACATCCTGGGCCTGGAGCTGCAGATGCGTGCAGGCTGCCGAGTGGGTGCAGGGATTGAACCTGGGTTCCCTGCAAGAGCAACAAGTGCTCTCGGCCACTGAGCCAACTCCCCAGCCCTTAGGTAGCTTCCTTATTCAGCCAGGACCACCTGCCCGGGGAATTGTTCCACCCACAGTGAGCTGAGCCTTCTTAACCAGTTAACAATCAAAACAAATCCCCACAGACACGCCCCAGGCCAATCTTACCTGGGTAAGCCCTTGATTGAGACTCTTCTCAGGTGATTCTAGCCTTGTCAAGTTGACAATTAAGGGGGCTGGAGAGATGGCTCAGTGGTTAAGAGCACTGTCCGCTCTTCCAAATGGACCCGGGGTTCAATTCCCAGCACCCACATGGCAGCTCACAACTGTCTGTACCTCCAACTCCAAGGGATCTGACACCTTCACACATAAAATAAAACAAATTATTTAAAAAATTGACAATTAAAGCTAACTAGGAGACTGGGCCTCCGGTGTCTGGAACTTCACTTCTGCCCCAGGGGGCACACAAGTGCTGTGGTACTGAAGAGGGCTGTAACAGTCCCAAGGTTTGCATGGCCCAAGCCAAACCAGGTCATTTCCCTGCTGTCTGTCTCCTGCTTCTGGATCTGGGTGCTGTATCAGAGTCCCTTAAAGATGGGCCTGAGGAAGCTAGGTGCCATGGCACACACTGGTGAGAACAGACTGGACAGGCTGAGGCAGAAGGATTGTCAGTTCCAGGGCAGCCTGGCTGTTTAGTAACACCTGCCTCAAAACACCAACAAAAGAATGGGCCTGGGAAAGACTCGCTGGCCTTCCTGACAGCAGCCTTGGCTGACAGAGTAAATGCAAACATGGAGGGTCCGCATACTGTTGCTGAATCCTCCAGGTAGCGGGTCACTGCTCACACGCAGTCTCTCATCCTGCCACATTACAGTCCTGCCATCCCAACCTGAGCCTCAGTGACCCACGTGGCTGGGAGTGGGACTGGAGACATGCCACAACAAAGGTCATATCCTATGGGCTGGGGCTAGGGTGAAGAGGGCTGGCAGCCTCTGTCAGGTGCACCAGGGGCCTGGGCTCCTGTAACGGCCACTGGCTTTCTTGTCTGTCTCTGCTAGTAATGACATAGCACAAACTGGATATGGCTTAACAAAAGAGGTCTGTTTGCTCTGTGGTTTGGGACGGTCAAGACCATGAGGCACATCCGCTCATGACAGTCCCAGAAAAGAGTGGCATGTGGGGACAGAGGGAACGTGCTGGTCTCGTCTTTGTTTTATAGTTACCGGATCTAATCACAGAGATGCTATGAACATTAGGCCTCCTGGGCACGATAGTGCATGCCTGGAATCCCAGCACTCAGGAAGGCCCAGGCAGGTGGATCTCTGTGAATTAAGAGACCACCCTGTTCTATTACAAAGTGAGTCCAGGACAGCCAAGGCTACACAGAGAAACCTTGTCTTGAAAAAATCAAAAAATCATGCCACTGCCTCTCACCTCTCAACACTACATTAAACATTCCCCTCTTTTCTTTTCTCTCTCCCCCCCCCATACTTTGGCATTAGAACCCAAGGCCTTGTATGTGCTAGGCAAGGAAGTATCTGATTTTTATTTTTTATTTCTTTATTTTGGGTGCTGGGGATGGAAGCCAGGGATCTGGGTATGAAAAGCAAACGCTTCATTTAACAGCTGAGCTGCATCCCAGCCCTTCCTCTGGAGACGGGGTCTCTCACTCTCCAGGCCAACTTTGGACTTATTTTGTGATTCATTCATTCTCTGTCTCTCTTTTCCTCCTTCATCCTCTCTCTCACCCCTCCTCCTACACGTGTGTGTTATATGTGGCACGTGTATGTGCTGTATGTGCACATGAACACATGAGTGTCCTTGCCCATGAGTGGATGTGCCATGGCCAGCTATCTTTCCAACACCAGGTGCCATCCTTTGTCGCTTGCCCCTTGCTCATGTTTTAGCTGTGATTCTGGAAGTCCAAGCATTCTACGCCACATCTACCCACCCGGGCAGCAGGGGCATCCAGCAGTCTCCAGGACCTGCACGCTCCAGTGCTGGCATACAGCTGTGCACAGCTCTTCCCATGGCTGCTGGGCATCCAAAGTGAGGTCCTTGTGCGCACACAGCACATTCTCCTACCGCTCAGCCATCTCCTTAGCCCCAGGCACCAACTTTCAATCCCTTTGTGTCAGGCCCCCTAGGGCCAGGATGACAGGCTTACAACAGTCAGCTGTTTTTACAGGCTGGCCTGGAACAGCTGACCTTCCTGCCTCTACCTCCTGGGGCGGGGTTTACAGCCGTGGGCCACCACACCCAGTTCTGTCTGTTCCAATAACAGCTGTGTGTGGCCCAGCAACGGAGTACTCTCCTAGCGTGTGTGAGTCCTGGGGCAGGCCCTAGCGTGTGTGCACGCGCGCACACAGACACACATGCACACATGTCAGTGAGAAGATAAATTTTCCAGTCGGGCTGGAGCACCAGCAGGAGGCTCGGCAGGCAAAGCTGTTTGCTACCAAGCTTGGCGACCTGAATGGGGTACCTGGAACCCACACTGTGGAAGGGGAAAGCTGACTCCTCTGACTTGCACATGCCCACACACATAAAAACACAACGAATGTTATTTACATTTAAAAATAAATGCTATTTTAAAAGTTTACAAAAAGGCGAGGTGGGGCTGGGACGGCTCGGTGGTAAAGTGCTTGCTGTATAACCAGAACTTGTGTGGCGTTGGGTAGGTGGAGACAAGTGACTCTCTGGGGCACCGTTTCCAGCCACCCTAGCCTGGTGGGTGAACGCCAGCCCAGCGGGAAATCCTCTTTCAACAAACATGGCAGATGGCTCCTGAGAAACAGCCGCCAAGTCTCATGTCTGACCTCCACGTGAACCACACAAGTACACATGCCCATTCACATACTTAATATATATACACGTATATATGTGTGTGTGTTTATATATATATAATTTTTTTAACTACCTCACACTAGGGGCCAATTGTTACAGTGATGGATCATGCTCCAACCTAACGTCCCTGGTCCCACCATCAGCCTCAGTCGTGGAATAAGGGTGCTGTTTCAGACATTCTGGGTGTGCTTCAGTGGTGTAGCTCTTGCCTAGTATATGCAAGGTCAACCCAACACCCAAAACTCTCCGAAAACTCTGACGCCAACCTATACATGGACTTGAAATCTGGCCTGGGTCTAGGGAACAAAGCCACAGTAATGGCCTGAAGGTACTGGCCAAGGATTAGCAAACACCCAGGCAGGCGCTATGACTGTCACCCTATGGTGTCATGGAGGGGAAACTGAGGCAGTGGGAGGTAGCCAAGCCTAGGAACACAGTTTGTAAGTGGAGGCCAGAATGGTGATCCTGGCCCTTCCATGCCTCTGAGCCAGGCCTGTGGGTCCAGGCAGCGGCCCCACAGTCCCCTCAGAGGCCTGCTCTGTAGGTGTTCATCCCATATCGCTCCAATTTGCAGGCGGGGCTGACAAGCAGCAAATGGATGCAGAGCTCCGCAAGGAGATGATGGCCATTTGGCCCAACCTGTCTCAGAAGACCCTGGATCTGTTGGTCACACCTCACAAGTGTAAGAGCAACACCAGGGAGGGGCAGGGGAGGCTCAGAGACGGGCCTGGGCTGCGTGAGAACTGACCTGTCTTCCACAGCCACGGACCTCACGGTGGGTAAGATCTACGCGGCCATGATGATCATGGAGTATTACCGGCAGAGCAAGGCCAAGAAACTGCAGGCCATGCGAGAGGAGCAGGTATGCCATTGCTGGTGGTACTTGGGGTGGGGTGCCCGGTCTGTCTGTCCTCATGGAGACCAGCTGGGACAAGGAGTGTGGTGAGGCCAGGCCATTTCAACAACACCTGCCTAGACAACTTTCAGTCACCAACAGGCGCCTGGTGCTCGCCTGTGCCAGTCACTGCTTCAGGCCCTGCGGGACACCTGCCCCCAGGTGCTGGACATTCCAGCTCCGGAGATGCCAACAGCCTCACAGTGGCAAACAGTGCCATTGGGGAAAGTGGGTCCAATTGGCTAGAGCCAGGATGTGTGGTGTCAAGTGGATGGTCAGGGACACCCCCCGAGGAGGTAAGGTCTGAGCAAAGAGCTGAGGTAAAAAGGAGAGGGACCGGAGACTTGCTCTTAGCAGGTAGGAGCTAAGAGCAAGTGCTGCTCTGGCAAAGCCTGGGTTCAGTTGCCAACACCCCCACGGCATTGCACAGCCACCAGTAACTCCAGTTTCAGGGGATCCAGCCCTCCGCTGGCCTCTGTGGGCAGCTGATCATGTGTGGTATACACACACACACAAACATATACATAAAATAGTAAGATAATTTTTTTTCAAGACAGGGTTTCTCTGGGTAGCCTTGGCTGTCCTGGACTTGCCTTGTAGACCAGGCTGGCCTCAAACTCACAGAGATCCGCCTGCCTATGCGTCCCAGGTGTGCACCACCAGTCCCAGCGAAATAAAGATTTTTTTAAGGGAGCTGAAGACTAGATGTGATGGCGCATGCCTTTAATATCAGCACTAGGGAGGCAGAGGCAGGCAGAGCTCTATGAGTTTGAGGCCATCTGGGCTACAGAGCTAGTTCCAGGACAGCCAAGGCTACATAGGGAGCACTAGGCCATACCAAGACAACATAGTATAGTGAGAACCTGTCTCAGAGAGAACAAGAGAGAATGAAAATGGAAGGAAAAGAAAGAAAAGGGAGGGGCTGGGAAAGCTGGCTTAGCTGAGCACCAGATGCTCTTGCAGAGGACACGTGCTCAGTTCCCAGCTACTACCACAGTGGCCTACAGCCGTGTGTGACTTTAGCTCCTGGGGTCTTCAGGCATCAGGCATACAAGTGGTGAACATATATGCATGCAGGTAGAAGACTCATACACATAAAATAACAGGGCATTTTTTTTAAATGAAGGGGGTCACACATGGTGGCATATTGCCTTTAGCCCCACCACTAGGGAGGCAAAGGCAAGCAGATCCTCTGTGAGTTCAAGATCACCAGATAGAAAGAAATGGAGAGGTTTAAACCCAATGGAAGACATTTGTTGTGTGACCGAAATTTCCCTGGAAAGATAAGAACACTCACCCCAGATAGGGATCCCGCAACAGACCAAAGTACAAATGCCACCAAAGTCCAACATGGTGAACCATGAGTTCTGTTGGGGTCAATTATGAAGCAGAAATGAATCAACAGCAGCACAGCACCACCCACCCCGTGTGGATGACAGTTCACGACAGCTGGGAACCTGGAGAAACAGCCTGCAAGCAGCTCAGCAGGTTGGAAAGTCTTTTCCAGGTGGCTCGGTTGGACTAAACCTCTTCCAGGCAGCTCTGCCGGTTCCTGTTTCTTCTAGGGGTGCACTCTTATCTCAGGGTCTTTGGTGCAGCTTGCTTCCTCTGAGAGTGACTTTACTATTTTATTACTTACTCAGGCGGAGAGCGGTTAGGTGAATCTGGTCAGTTTCAGGGACTTCCTTAAGCTATTTAGAGTTGTTTACCTGTGCCTTAATGGACTTCCCTGCAGGATGGAATATTTCAATCTCAGAAGACACTGTTACACAACAGCTTTCCATGCAGAGAGCAGCCTTTAGAAAGGCTCTGGGGCTGGACTTTGCCTTATGAGTTTGGGAAATATTGATGGGGTCACAGTAACAGAACACAGCAAGAGTGTGGGAAGAGACAAGAGTTGGAGAGTACAGGCCTAAACCCTGAAGACTGCAGGGTGAACTCTGGCTTTTATTCCAAATCACATGGGAGCAGAAGTGGGGTCTAAGTGCAGAAGGGACTATCCACTGGGTGCTCGCTGGCGCCCTCTGGTGGCTGTACGTGGGAGAAATGCTGGCGCCCTCTGGTGGCTGTATATGAGAAAAAGGCACAGAGCCATTTCTGTTCTGGTTGGAGGGGTGTGAATGGTAAAGGGTTAGGTGATGAATGGTTTATGGATGAATTTGGGTGGAAGACACATAGATAGAACTTGATTGCATGGCTCTCCAGCATGAACTTCGTAGATGACAGCATTGTGTCACAATGTCAAAAGTTGAACAATGTCTGGAGAAATAGTTCAGTGGGTAAAGGCCTTAAGGAACTGAGTTCCATTCTCAGTGGCATGTGTCTATGCACAAAAACTGGCACACAAAATAAGTAAGTTTAAGTAAAAGGTTTTTAAAAAGCTAATTAGGACATCCAGGAAGCAGAGGCAGGCCGATCTGTATGAGTTCCAGGACAGCCAGAACTCTTTTGAGAGAGCCTCCCTCAAAAGAAGGAAGAAGGGCACAGTAGCTGACAGATCAGACCTACCTGTGTGTACGTGGGTGCCAAGAAGGACCTGTTGGGCTGGAGAGTGGTGTAGTCCTGATATACAAGGCCCTGGGTTTGACTGCCAGCATTACAGGGTCAGACTCAGCTTCCGGCAGGTGCTCCCTCTGTCCTCAGCCCCCTTACACTCACTGCTTTCTTCTCGCCCCAGAACCGGACACCACTCATGTTCCAGCGCATGGAGCCTCCATCGCCAACACAGGAGGGAGGACCCAGCCAGAACGCCCTGCCCTCCACTCAGCTAGACCCAGGAGGAGGCCTGTGAGTATCCATCTGGGCAACTGTGGATGGGTGTCAGGCTCCAGCTTCCAAGGCCCAGAGGATGCACACCCTTTCTGGCCTCTGCCCTGGTGCAGGATGGCTCAGGAAAGTGGCATGAAGGAGAGCCCGTCTTGGGTGACCCAGCGGGCCCAAGAGATGTTCCAGAAGACTGGCACCTGGAGCCCAGAGCGAGGGCCACCCAGCGACATGCCCAGCAACCAGCCCAACTCGCAGGTGCGGCTCCCCTCCCCAAGCTGGGCAGCTCAGGCAGAAGGGGCCCTGGAGAAGACTCCGCACACAGTCAGGCCCCAGACTCACCCTACCTCACCCTCTGCCTGACAGTCTGTGGAGATGCGGGAAATGGGTACGGATGGCTACTCAGACAGCGAACACTACCTCCCCATGGAAGGCCAGGCCAGGGCCGCCTCCATGCCCCGCCTCCCAGCAGAGAACCAGGTGAGAGCTTGCAGGGTTCTGGGCCTGAGGACCCTGTGCCTTTCTCTTGGGGACCCTGGCCTGGATAGGGTCAGAGGGGAATACCCTTTCCTGACTCAGAGCCAGAGAGAGAAGGGGCACCCTTGCAGAGCATAGCAGTCAGTGCCAAGTGCCTTTCTGCCCCTGTTTAGGAGCACAAAGAGCAATGGAGTGGGTTTGGGGAGGGCTGGGTCCGGTTCTGTTGACAGATGCCTTTGGGAATCCCTGCCTTGGCAGCATATGACGGGTCTCACACTCAGGAGGCTGAGGAAAGAGGAGTTCCAGGCCAGCTTAGGCTACAGATCTGGACCATGTCTCAAAACAAACAACATGGCTTACATCTATGATCCCAGCACTTGGGAGGCGGAAACAGGAAGATCTGGAGTTGGAGGCCAGGCACCACTATGTAGCTAGCTTGAGGGCCGCCTGAACTATGTGAGACTCTGTCTCAAAACAAAACTTAGGAATCCTTACTGCCAGCTGGAGAGGTGACTCACCCGGTAAGCCACTGCTGCTCTTGCAGACCTGACTGATTGCCAGCACCTATACTACGACAGCTCAGAGCCTCCTGGAGCTGGAGCTCCAGGGCAGCCAGTGCCCTTCTGTGGCCTTCCCAGGTGCACAAACTCCCAGTCACATATACAAATAAGAACTTTTTTTTTTTTTTTTTTTTTTGGTTTTTGGTTTTTTGAGATAGGGTTTCTCTGTGTATCTGTGTAGCCTTGGCTGTCCTATACTCGCTTTTGTAGACCAGGCTGGCCTCTAACTCACAGAGATCTACCTGCCTCTGCCTCCCCGAGTGCTGGGATTACAGGTGTGTACCACTGCGCCTGGCAAGAAACTAATTTTTAATTTTTAAAAAGGAAAATAGAACCCTTACTCCAAAGCTGGAGCTGGAGTTCATGGTATCTCCTGTGCTTAGCAAGGGCAGACCTCGTTCCATCACAGCCAAAACATGGCCCTGCTACCCATGCACTTCACACATGCCACTTGCTCACATGCACAAGCGCCGGTGTGCTACCCTAGTGACAGGCATGCTCGTGTGCACGCACACGGCCTGCCGCCTTCAGGAATAAGGCATGTCCGAAAATCTGAAGGCAGAGTCCGGGTGGGCATGGGATGGCTGGACATATATTCTGTCACGTGTCTGGGGGTGGTGTGTACCTGGTATGTGTGTCTCAGTGTGGCTGCTTCTCCTAGCTACTTCAGCCCCTTATAGGGAAGGCAGATCCCCACGGGGAAGGGGGAACAAGCATGCCTGGCTACTGCGCAGTAGGAGGTGGGGACAAACCCCAGGCTGCCACTGAGGACAAGGAAGGGCAGGCGGGGCAGGCATGCCTGGCTGGGACAGCTCGCCCTGCGTTATGGAGCATACTCGCTGCGCCTGGCTGGGTTGTCATGGCCCAAGGGTCTGGCCTCTGGCTGCTGTGACCTTGGGGTGCATGTAGCTGCCCCATCCCTTCTGTCAGGCCTGGCCTGCTGGTCCCAAAACAGAGATGAGCCAAGCTGGGCTGATGGCCACCTGGAAGCTTTGAGCTGAAGCTGGAGCGAGGCGGGGGAGGGGTGCTGGGCCGAAGCGCATCGCATGAAATGGGCCAGGAGCCTGTGGCCTTGCAGTCCCATCTGTCGGTCTCGTGTCTCTGCCATCTGTCTGTCTCTTGTTTCTTCTGTGCCCATTGTGGGGGACAGCCAGCGGGTCCTGGGGCACCCCTCACTCAACACCAGAAACTTTAACCTCTCTCTACCCACCACCTCCTCCATGCACCACCCCCCACCTCACCATCCCTTTGGCCTTTTATATTTATTTCCTTCTTTCTGTTTTTTTTCTGTGTGCGCCATCCTGTGGGGCTGGGACAGAGGAGAAGGGGCCGGCCACGTGGAAATAACCTCAGTGTATGTACCGCGCCCGGCCAGCTTGGCTCCAGCCCCTCTCCCTCCCTGCCCTGTCTGTGAAAGTTCCCACCATCTCCCCCCTGCCCTCCCCCCCGCCCTTTCATTGCAGACCCCACCCCTCCCCATGGAGCCCCTTCCTCATGTGTTGTGTCCTGTGTGTCAAGGGCCACACTGCACCCCACTTCGTCTTCAGAGTCTCCAAGAGGCCGAACTGCCCGTCCTACCCCTTTCTTGGGGGGTCTGTCTCTCCAACTCCACCAGTGACCACTGGCTTACTGCGTCAGGTCCCTTTAGCTCCTTCCTTGGACTGGGTCCGGCACATCAGAGTTGGACCAGGCCTGGTCCAGTTGGCCCTGTCTTCTTCTGCTACAGAGAACTGAAGACTGTCCATGGCAGAGCAAGACCAAGGATTGTGGGACAGTAAATGCAGACTCAGAATGATCTCCTGTATCTCTACTGCCAGGGCAGCCCAGCCCAGCCTGGGTGATAGGAACCAGAGTTGGGGGTGGGGGTGAGGGTCAGGAGAGTTGGACCAAGGAGAAGCAGGGCTCCCAGGCTTGCACTCTGCAAGCGGAGCATGCTTCTTGCCAGCCAGGCTGAACACCAGGGGCTCCTGAAAAGCAGGACAGGGGGTCAGCCAGGGGCTTCTGGCCACAGCCCAGCATATCCCCTAACAAGTAGCCAAAGTCCTGTCAGTGGGACTTAAGAACCCTTGCTGCCAGCAAGCCAGACTCACACACACACACACACACACACTGCACCCCTGGACACAGTCCCTGGATGCTCACGCATCCTGGTTCTGTCACCAATCTGCCAAGCACCAGCTACAGGGCTGGAAGGCACAGGCTACAAAAGTGCTGACCGCTAACTCTGCCCACATCTGTGGCCCTCCCCCAGACCATCTCTGATACCAGCCCCATGAAGCGCTCAGCCTCTGTGCTGGGACCCAAAGCCCGGCGCCTAGATGACTACTCCCTAGAGAGAGTGCCCCCTGAGGAGAACCAGCGCTACCACCAACGCCGCCGGGACCGTGGCCACCGCACCTCCGAGCGTTCTCTGGGCCGCTACACTGATGTGGACACAGGTGAGTGCCAGGGGACCCAAAACAGAGCATCCACAAAGAAACAGAAGGCCGGGGAGGAGGAGGTTGATACCAGCATGGGAGAAGCTGGAGAGAGAGGGTTAGGATCTGGGAATGGAGGCAAGCCAACCATAACACATACCCACATACTCCAACTCACAAAGGGACGAAGGAGCCGGGCGTGGTGGCACATGCCACTAACTCCAGCACTCAGGAGGCAGAGGTAGGAGGATCTCTGAGTTTTAGCCTAGCCTGGTCTACAGAACAAGTTCCAGGAGAGTTGAACCTACACAGAGAAGCCCTGTCTTGAAAACCCAAAAAGAAAGAAAGAGGGCTGAAGGGATGGTGGCTCAGCAGTTGAGAACACTGACTGCTCTTCCCGAGGACCCAGGTTCAATTCCCAGCACCCACATGGGCCACTCACACCTGCCTCTTAACTCCAGTTCCCAGGAGAGCTGACACTTTCACAAAGACATGCATGCAGGCAAAACACCAATGCGCATAAAATAAAAATGATAAATTATTAGAGAGAGAGGGCAGAGGCTAGGTGCTATCTCTGGGGTAGAGCTGTTGGTTGCCACACAAGCGTGAGGACCTGACTTAGGACCACCAGCACCATCTACAAAGCCATGTGTGGCAGTGTATGTGTGTGAGGCAGTTCACATCTGCTGGGAAGGAAGAAACAGCTAGGCCCCTCGTGCTCACAGGCTAATCAGCCTGAGCCACTCAGAAGCCCAGACACAGAGGCACTGTCTTTGGAAAAACAAGGTAGAGGCCGGAGAGGCTCCAAAGGTAAAGCAGCTCCCACGCAAGCATGAGGACCTGAGTTCATAAGGAGCAGGGCAGAGCAGTGCATATCTGTAACCCCAGCCCTCCTAAGGGGGATGGGGGCTGGAGACAGCAGATCCCCGGAGCTTCAAACAGGATAGACTAGGAGGGCCAACACCCAGTATCGTCCCAACCTCCACATACCTTTGTGACATTTGCACACTCACACACAAGTACACACAGTATATACACCAACATAAATAAATAAAGAAGTCTGATTTATTTAGTTCGTGACAAGATCTCACTATGTAGGCCTAGTCGGCCTGGAACTCTAGGATTAAAGGCATGCCCCGGCTGTTTGTTTAGTTAGGTTTTTTGTTGGTTGTCTTTTCCCCAAGAGACAGGGTTTCTCTATGTAGCCGTGGCTATGTTGGAACTCACTCTGTAGACCAGGCCAACTTCAAACTCAGAGATCGGCCTGCCTCTGCCACCTGGGTGCTGGGATTAAAGGTGTGTGCCACCATGCCCAACTGTTTTATTTTTCCAATTCGTGTGTGTGTGTGTGTGTGTGTGTGTGTGTGTGTACGTATGTGTATGTCTATGACCTAGAGAGGTTTTAAGCATGGGTGCAGCTAACTTACATCCTCAGCAAGAACAGCACTTTTTTTTTTTTTTTCTGTTGAGACAAAGTTACAGGATTTCTCTATGTAGCCTTGGAGTGTCCTGGACTCTCTTTGTAGACCAGGCTAGCCTGAACTCACAGAGATCCCCGTCTCTGCCTCCTGAGTGCTGGGATCAAAGGTGTGAGCCACCTCGGCCACCAAGTCAGGCTGCAGCAGACACTCTTAACTACCGAGCTCTGACGGCACACGACCCCACCCCCAATTACAACAAAAGGAAGGTGAACAGCTCCCGAGGAACAACGCCCAGGTTAATCTCCGGCCTGCACACTGTGGTGCACACACGCATATCAACAGACACACACACACAGAGAAATGTTAAAATGCTAAGAGGAAGAAAAGAGGCTAGGTCGGTGTGTCTGGGGCTGTTCCTATTCAACACTAAGAAAAGGGATGGGCCAAGCAAGGTGGCTTAGCCTGTAAAGGCATTTGCTGCCAAGCCTGAAGACAGGAGTTTGATTCCTGGAACTTTTGAGGTCGAATGTCACACTTTCAGATAAGTGCCACCGCGGGAGGGTGTACGAGCTGAAAACAAATGTTCAAAAACGTAGGTGGGGGGGAATGAGAGAGACTAGGAAGGAAACCAGGGGCTGCAGCACTGAGCCTGGGGACCCTCCACGCCCGGCCTCCCCGACTTCTCCCTTCCCTTCTGGGGCCTGTTCCTCCTCCCTCACCATCACCTCCCACTTAGGCCTGGGGACAGATCTGAGCATGACCACCCAATCGGGTGACCTGCCTTCCAAAGATCGGGACCAGGACCGGGGCCGGCCCAAGGACCGGAAGCATCGGCCGCACCACCACCACCACCACCACCACCATCATCCCCCAGCCCCCGACCGAGAGCGCTACGCACAGGAGCGACCGGACACAGGCCGGGCGCGGGCCCGGGAGCAGCGCTGGTCCCGCTCGCCCAGCGAAGGTCGGGAGCACACGACACACAGACAGGTGCGTGTGGCAGGCCCAGACTGACCCGACGGGGCGGGCGGGGCGGGGCTGCAGCGGATGGGAAGGACCGGGGTGGGCGTGGGAGGTGCCCGGGGCGGGGCGCGGGTAGCCCGCTGCTCTCGCTGTCCCCTCGGCCCGGCCTCCCTGCGACTCGAGTCCTGCGGACGCCTGTGAGTGACTTCGGAAACTTACGAAGCTCGTTTCTCGTTTCTCTCCTCACTGTTGTGTTGGTTTGCCCGTCCCCCCTCCCCGCCTCTCCGTCCCGCCGCCCGCCCGCCCTCCCGTCTGTGTGTCCCCGTGTGCTCCTGGTCGGTCCGTGGTATCTTTGCTTTTGATTTCCTTTGTTTCGATTTTCGTGTAGGGCAGTAGTTCCGTCAGTGGAAGCCCAGCCCCCTCTACGTCCGGCACCAGCACGCCGCGGCGCGGCCGCCGCCAGCTCCCCCAGACCCCCTGCACCCCGCGGCCGCTTGTGTCCTACTCGCCGGCTCCGCGCAGGCCTGCGACGCGCAGGCTGGCGGGCCCCGCAGCGCCCCCTGGCGGCTCGCCGAGAGGGTGCCGCCGTGCGCCGCGCTGGCCCGCGCATGCGCCTGAGGGCCCGCGGCCGCGCGGCGCCGACTACCCCGAGCCCGACGACCCGCGCGAGCAGCCAGGGGGCGCGCACGAGCCCGCGCCGCGGTCGCCCAGGACTCCGCGCGCCGCGGGCTGCGCGTCACCGCGCCACGGCCGCAGGCTGCCCAATGGCTACTACGCGGGGCACGGCGCGCCGCGGCCGCGCACAGCCCGCAGGGGCGCGCACGACGCCTACAGCGAGAGCGAGGACGACTGGTGCTAAGCCGCCCCGCCCCCCGCAGCGCCCGCCCCGCGCGGGCGCGCCGCAAACGATAAACAATACCGTTTTTAAAAAAGAAAACCGGGGAGAAAAACAAAAAATAGCTTCTATTGATGAGTTTTATCATCTCAATTGAATCTTTCCTTTTCCCGGTGAACGAAACCGAGGTGGCTGCGAGCCGGAGGGACGGCTGCACGCCCCACACACTTCTCAGACCCACGGGAGTGCTTGCGGGCCACGCCAAACTTACTACTGCCTGCAGAGATCAACTACAAGAAAATAACACTAACAGTTTTTAAAAGGACAAAAAAAAGTTTTTCCCCCTGACATTTGGTCCTGCTTGAAATAACAAAAGAAAGAAGAGAAAAAATGACCACCGCCACCGATTCCCTTGCTTCTTTTTTTCCTTTATCTTTTTAAAAACTTTTTTTTTCTTTTTTTCCTATCTTGTTTGAAAAACGTGGGCTTGGGACTGTGAAATATTGCATGACATTAAAAAGAACAAAAAAAAAAATAAAAACGAAAAAACTTGAATCCAAGGGCTTCTGAACTGGAGTGGTCTTTGTCCCTTGACCAAGATGCCATGCAAGTTACTCTTGGGAAATGAAAGGAGGGGGGTCAGTGAGAGAAACGCGCTGGGGCATCGCTGGGAAGCAGAGCCCACAGGTACCATGAACGGCCCTGGGTTTACTCCCAGGTAAGGGCAGCTGTGACTCCTTGAGAGTGACCCCTGCAGGACAGAGGCTCGCCCCTGGCTGTGCCCAGCCTCTGCTGCCACCCACTGTGCTCACCCTGACCTCTGGTTCTTGAGTTCCTCAATCTGCCTCACCCGGGGAGAACTGGTGGGGGTGGGGGAAGGTCAAAGATCTGAGCAGTCTGTGGAAGGGTTACGGGTCGTCAGAGCAGTGAGTGGAACCAGGATTTCTTTTTTTCAGATGTATTGTTTACTTATGTATCAGTGAGTTTGTGCATATGTGCAGGTGCCCTCTGAGGCCAGAAGAGGCGCTGGATCCCTGGAGCCGGAGTTAGAGGGTCCTCTAACCCGGCTGTTGAGACACTGAGCTTAGTCCTTTGAAAGCCATCTTCTGACTCATGTCTTCAGCCCCCACCCCCCAAATCTCCCGTCCCCACCAGGGTTTTTACACAAGGATGACCTCCTCACCCTGCATTCACCTACCTCATCCAGTTTGCTGTCTACACAATCATTGCAGCCTTCCGTGGCCGCACACAAGCAGGTGGTAAGAGGCCCCTGTCTAGCCCCCAGGCTCCCGGATCTCACCCTGTCTTTGCCTGTTTAGAAAAGACTCTGTGAATATGGCTTGTATCTATAAAACTGCAGATTAGGTGAGAGGAACCTTTGTTCACACAACGTCAGGTGCCCCTTTCAAGTTCTCTGGCCTGATGGGGCAACTTCCGGTCCTCTGTGTCTGAGTGTGCAGGGTGTGTGTGCATATAGGAGTGCCTGCACGTGGGTTCTGTGGGGCCATGCAGTTGAGGACTAACTGCCTTCTTTTACCATTAACCACCTTTTCGGGTTTTGGCTTTGGTTTGGTTGGTTGGTTGTTCTTTTGGTTTTTCAAGACAGGGTTTGTCTGTGTAGCAGAGCCACGGCTGCCCTGGACTCGCTCTGTAGACCAGGCTGGCCTGGAACTCACATGGATCCACCTGCCTCTGCCTCCCGAGTGCTGGGATTCCAGGAGTGTGTCACCACAGTTGGCTCACTTTTTGTTTTGTCTTGTGAGATGGAGTTTATGTAAGCCCTGGCTGTACCGGAACTCCCTGTGTAGACCAGGCTGACCTCCACCTCACGGAGACCTGCCTGCCTCTGCTTCCCAGTGCTGGAGTTCCAGGCGTGCGCCACCACCTCCCTGGCACATACTTAAATTTTTAACAGTCATTTGGCTGAGGGATTGTTACTACCACCCAGCCTTGACATCATATTTTCAAAACTTGATGGGCTTTGTAACCTTTAGCATGCGGTTTAACTTCTCTGTGCCCCTACTCCTCTTTAGTAAAATGGAAATAATAGAACTGGACACACACTGTGTGTCTGTATGTGTGTATGTTTTCATTTTGTGATGTACAAAACGTGAGCTGTGTTCTGATAAAACATTTTTCATGAAATGCCAGCATGGGAGAGTGTTGAAGTGGCTCAGCAGCAGCCAGAGCACGGACTGCTCTCCCAGAGGATCTGGGGTCCGTTCCTAGCACCCAAAAGGCAGTGTAGAGCCTTCTGTAAGTCCATTCCCCCAGGGATGGAATGATCCCTTCTGGCCTCTGCAGGCACTGCCTGCTCATGATACCCTGACATAAATGCAGGCACACACACAAAATAAATTAAAAAATTAAGCTGAGTAAATGTAAGTCAGGAACCTGGGCTGATGGAACAGGTCCTGATCTTAGCCACTCAAGAGGCTGCACCAGGAAAATCTTTTTTGTTGTTGTTTTGTTTCTGGTTTTCGAGATAGGGTTTCTTTGTGTAGCTTTGGCTAGCCTAGGCTTGCTTTGTAGACCAGGCTGGCCTGGAACTCACAGAGATCCACCTGCCTCCCTGAGTGCTAGGATTACAGGCGTGCACCACTGCACCTGGCAAGCAGGAAGATCCTTTAAACTTAGAAGCTCAAGAAGAGCCTGGGCATCACAGCAAGACCCTGTCTCAAAATGATGGGGTGGCAGTGTCTGCCACCCAGCCTGACGGTCTGAGTTTAATCCCTGGCATCCGCGTGGTGGAAGGAGGGAGCTGAGTCCTGCGAGTTGTTCTCTGACGAGCTCTGAAAGGAGGAGTCTCTGGGTGTGGCAGTGCTCCTCCTGTTGAGCAGTGCCAGGCCGCGCCAAATGCGGCCTGAACATGCATATGCAGTTGCCACAGGCGCATTGGGCCTCCCAGGCGACATGGAACCGACCCGAAGCAGGAGAATGAGGGCAGCAGGCAGAGCCGCCTTATCACACGGGGCCTCTAAATGGCACGTGCGTGTCTGTAGCCGAGGTAGTCCAGAGGTGGCCCAGCAAGCCGTCTCACCGTGAGGATACCAGACCAGCATCACCAATCTTTGGCTGCCAGCTTCAAGCAGGGTGCCAGCGACAGTACGACCTCCCCAGGATCGGGACGTCCGTAGAGTATGGAGTTTTGGGTGACCGTGTCTCCTGCTCTCACCTACCTCTACCAGACCACACAGCTGAAATTTGGCCCAGAAATCCACCTCTCAGAGCCAATGTCCCTGCCTCCAAGATCCCTTCCTCCACCTTAGACAGCACAGCCACAGTGTATCCCCTAACTGGGATGCAGTTTTCCCCGCAGCCAGAGCCAGGGTCTACCTCCTGTCTCCCAGGTGACTGGTCATTCTCTTTGCCCGCTTGTCTGAGATTCTCTATTTCTCCTGTCCTAGCTCAATGCCAGTAAGTACCATGGAAGACTCAGGAAAGCTGCCGTGCTTAGATAGCCATTAGTGAGAACTCACTCATCTAAGCACAGAGACAGAAAGACAGCAGAGATTCCTGGAGGCATAAAGAGGACAAACAGGAAAGTTGACGATTAATGAGGGCAGGACACAGGTTGCACAAGAATGTGCTTAATGTCATTGAACCAGCCTGACAATAATTAAAATGCTCACATCTCTTCACATTTATTTATTTACAGACGTGTGTTCGTGTACCCATGCTACAGCAGATATTTTAAAGTCAGAGGACAGCGCATGGGGGTCAGTTCTCGCCTACCAAGTAGGTCCAAAGGATTCAACTTGGCAAGCACCTTTACAGAACCCGCTCCTAAAATGACCAATTTTATGGGATGCATTTTTGTTATTTAGGCTTGGATTCAGCACTGAGGATTGAACCAAGAGCCTCCTACATATCAAGCAAGTGTGCCATGCCACCTCTGACCTACACCCCAAGTTGCCCGGACTGCCCTTAAACTGGAAATCCTCTTGCCACCTCCTAAATGGCTAGGATTACAGACACCACTAGACCAGCTGTGATGTATGATTTAAACTGGGACAAAAAGCTCATTAAGGTTAGGTGGAGTGGCTCACTCTTATAATCTCAATATTTGGGACAGAAGAAGAAGCATCTTCGGGTTCGAGGCCAGCCTGGTCTACACAGCGAGTTAAAGGTCAGCCAGAGCTACATAGCAAGACCCTGTCTCAAAGAACCAAAAATAGGGGCTGGAAAGATGGCTCAGTGGTTAAGAGCACCGTCTGCTCCTCCAAAGGACCTGGGTTCAGTTCCCAGCACCCACATGGCAGCTCAGAACTGCAGCACCAATTCCAAGGAACCTGACACCTTCACCTTCGCACCAATGCACATAAAATTAAATAAATCGTTTTTTAAAATAGACAAACACAAACAATAAAGCCTTCTATAATCTGCTCTAATGAATCACACTTGTAATCTGTAGTCCTAGCACTTAGGAAGCTGAGACAGGAGAATAAGCAGTGTGAGTCTAA